ACTTCTGGCTTATTTCTTTTTGCTTATGTGGTGCTGAGGAATCGAACCCAGGGCCTCAGGCATGCAAGGCAAGCGCTCTACCACTGAGCCACCTTCCCAGCCCCTTGTGATCTTGCTTGACTTCCCCCCTGAACCCCCCCTTCAGTGTCCCCCCCTCCCGTCCTGGGGCTTGAACTCAGGGCCTGGACACTGTCCCTGAGCTTGTTTTTCTCAAGGGTACCACTGCATGGTGCCAATTCTGGCTTTTTCTGTGTATGTGGTATTGAGGAATAGAACCCAGGGCTTCATGCATGCAAAGCAAGCACTCTACCACTGAGCTACATTCCCAGCCCTAGTCTAGCCTTTTTGCTCATCAGTTGGAGATGGAATCTTTGGGACTTTTCTATCTGGTTGACTTTGAACTGTGATCCTCCAGATCTCAATCTCCTGAGAGGAGATTTGAGGATTGTAGGATTATATATGAGCCACTGTGTCTTGTTAAAAACACCTTTGGGGGTGGGGGTGGTGATTAATGGTACAGTCCTCTCATTTTAAATGTGGAATAAAGTTTAGAGAGGCTTGATTAAACTTGACAATATCCAACATCTGGTACATGGCAAGTCTCAGAATTTGAACCCAGGCGTATGCTTTTGTTTAAACAATTCTTTATTATTTTTTTTTGTCGGTCGTGGGGCTTGAACTCTGGACCTGGGGTTTTGTTTAAACAATTCTTCATTGAGCCATTGCACTGGTGTCAAGCATAGCATTTAGGCCTTCAAGAGTTTAGAGTTGAATGAAACACAGTTCCTGCCCTCATTATAGTATGGAGAATGTATAAGGTAATTTTAGGGAGCTTTGGAGACTTACAGAAAGATAGCTTATCTCAGTCCAAGAGTTTAGAACCATTCTAGAGGACATAATGATTGAACTGAACCTTAAAGCAGGAGTAGGAGTTACCTGCTAAAGGCCAAGCAGGGGAAATATGTGGAAACCAGGGGAGGCCTTGTGGGTAAAGGCACTCAGAAAATTTCATGTCTTTGCTTAGGAACCCATTTGTTGGTCTTGAAAGGTGATGTAAATGGGGACCAGGATATTTCTGCCTCATTGCTTCGCTGTTCAAATGTCAGGTGCTGATGAAAATATTTATGGATAAAATGTCAGACTTCAATGCATTTTTTTGCTTTTCTTTTTTTAGGATCAGTTCGACAGCTTAGACAAACACACACAATGGGGCATTGACTTCTTGGAAAGATATGCCAAGTTTGTTAAAGAGAGGATAGAAATTGAACAGAATTATGCAAAACAATTGAGGTAAGTTAACTTACTTTTCAGTTCAATGACATCACATAATATAAAGAGTTTAAAATTAGATAAATAGTATTCTAGGAGTTAAAATTTGTGCTTTTCATCAGAATTGTATTGAATTAGGTAATTATTTTGGTTGATTTTGATCAAATCATCACCTTGTACTGTAAGGTAAATTGGTTACGAGGATCAGGAATAGCTTTCATTATAGAAAGACATTTAGAATCTGGGAGCAAAATGCCACGAGAAATATACCTGGTTATTCTTTCATACTTTATTCCCTTTAAGTTTTTACTGTGGTAATCTTTCCAAAACACTAACTTCTATTTGTTTCAGAATTGTTCATTTCTTCAGTTTCTAAGACTTGGAAATTAAAGTTGTACTGAGTGGAGTTTTTATCTCTCTAAATCAGGAATATGTTACTGATGTAGGTAATTTTGGTTTCTGTGTTAGAAAATTTAATCATAAAATGGTTGGAAGGCTGGGTGTTAGTGACTAATGCCTGTAATTGTTAACTACACAGGAGGCTGAGATCTGAGGATTTTGGATTGGAGCATGTCCAGGCAGGAAAGTCTGTAAGACTCTTCATTTAACCAGCAAAACCCAGTCCTGTGGCCTCAGTGGTAGAGAGCTAGTGTTCTGCAAAAAAGTTCAAGGACAGCACCCAGATCCTGAGTTCAGGCCCCACTACTGCCACAAACAAAACAGAACAAAAATTCTGATGGAATTCAGATTTTCATCACTTGGCAGAATCGTAATTGCTAAGATCACTATTTGACAAGTAGATTTTCTGGAACTTAATTCAGTAAAAATGATTTTTGAAGTCTGAAGGCTGGATTCTACAGACTGTAAAGTTGCAAGTGACAAAAATTTCAACCTAAACAGGTGCCCAGGACCAAAAGGTCCAGGTATATTTTGATTTGAGGGAGAAATTAGCTCCATCTCCTGTTTTCTTTATTCTTAGGTTCCATTCATAATGGACCCTCCCATCCTGGAGAAGAATAATATTTTTCTCTGTTATACTTTTGGAGGGGAGGAGAAGGGAAGGGAGTAGAGAAGGGAGGGAGTGGGAGGAAGAGAGGGTACAAGCTGTGCCACCTTTTGTCCAGAAGTCTTAGCAAACATTTTTTGTCATATGGACTCTAGATGGAAATACTGTATTGACTTAAAGCTGATAAAAGAAGGATGTTGAGCTTAAAATAAATATAAAGTAGTGATCCCAGATGGAAGGGGAGCTATATATGAGGGATCAGTGACATGCATCCAATATAGTAGTCCCTACAACCAGTTTTCTAAATGGAATAAACCTAGTATAATTACTTATAATACTTTTATGATGATATAATATTATTTTTGTGATATTTATTGAAATGTTGACATGCTAATTTTCTGATCCATTTGATTCTGGCTTTTCTTGTTTGTTTCCCTTCCCTTTTTTCTCCTTTGCCTTTCCTTGTTGCCGCTTTCCCTCTCCTCTCTTCTCATGTTTCCCTCCCCCTTGATAGAGTCTCTAACCAGAGAATTCATCTAGTAAAGTGGCAAACTTGTTTGCCTCTGTCTCTTGTGCCTGATAAATTACCAAACTATGAATGTTTTCATTTACTTGAAAAAAAAAGATTTCAATACTATTTTACTGAAGGAAGAGTGACAAGAACTCACAATTTAATGAAAAATTTAATTTTCTAATGACAAAGTAGGTTTTATTATGTGTTCAGTGATTTGTATCTTTCAAAGAATGCTGCATACTTAAGGAATTTGGCACGTTTCCATCCTAACTGTGGCTCTCAGTAGTGGTGATGCCCACCAGTATGGGAATTATTGGATGATGTTGAAATAGTTGAGTAATAGAGTGGGAAGGAGGAGGCATATTTAATTTGAAACTGTCTACTCCCTACTCTCCCTCTGTATTGAAACTTGCTGCTTTGGATGAATACCTAGTAAGCGATTGAATTAGCAGGTGCTGTTTATAGTATGTTTTGTTCAAAAGGAAGAGGTTTGCCCTGTTTACTTCCTCCTCATTAGTGGGAAATATTTTGTTGTTAACGCCACCTAGTTTTGCTACTGCAGTGGCTAATTTCATATACAGGAGGAAGAGTGTGCTGCAGCGAGGCAGGTTTTCCTGCCATTATAGCAATTATATTCAGATGGTAAATATTTTCTGTGCTTTATAGCTCGGCTGGCTCAAAATTGTGATTCTTCTGCTTCAGCCTTCTGAGTCCTGAGGTTGTAGTTATGTACCACCACACCCATTTCCATTTTAGATACATTGCAAGTCTAAAATAATGGGGAAGTAGAGCTGTGTTCAAAGTGATAGAGTGCTAGCAGCCTTGAGCAAAAGAAGTCAGGGACAGTGCTCAGGCCCTTAGTTCAAGCCCCACAATTGTGTGCGCGCGCGTACACACACACACACATACACACACAAATTGTGTTTTTGTTTTTTTTTTGGTACAGTGTATTGAACTCAAAACCTCACCTAGGCAGGTACTCTCCCAATGAGCAACACTTCCAGGAACTTGGCTAATATTTAAATTATGTACTTCATAGTTTTAGATCTAATTATGTATTTTTTATAAAGATAAGTTAGGAAGGATGAACCATTTAGAAGTCCTTCCTTTTGAGAAAATGGTTTTTCTTGTTAGTGAAGGTGAAAGAAAAACTTTCAAAAAGCCCTGTTTATTTTTTTCATTTCCTTCTCAAAGTACAGATTAGGAATACTTAGCGCATTTTAGAAAGTACTCTTTTGTTACAAAGATTTATCTTTTTTTCCATAACCTGTTGTACATTCGAGTTACATATTATTTTAGATCCTCCATTACTATTCCCTAAGCTCTCTCAGCTGTTTTCTCCTGATGACTCATGAGAGAAGAGGAAGCAGCAACAGGAGAACTTTTCCTTAATATTAGGTAACTAACTAATGGATATTTTTGGATTGGGATTCATGTTCATAAAATTATCATAGGTACATTTTAATTTTTTTCTTACAGTTTTCCAATTAACTATTGAACTATAGTGTTGAGTTTTTAGGGTTTTTTTGTTGTTAGCTTGTTTGGTTTGGTTAAGACAAGGTTTTACTGTGTAGCCTAGACTAGTCTGGAACTTTCTATGTAGCCAAGGTTGGTTCTGAATTTACAATTCAAATTGCTGGGATTATACGCATGACCACCTCCTCCATGCCTTTTTTTTTTTTTTTTTTTGGCCGGTCATGGGGCCTGAACTCTGGGGCACGGGCGCTGTTCCTCAGCTCTTCAGCTCAAGGCTAGCGCTCTACCACTGGAGCCACAGCGCCACTTCCGGCTTTTTCTGTTTATGTGGTGCTGAGGAATCGAACCCAGGGCCTTATGCTTGCAAGGCATTCACTCTACTGCTGAGCCACCTTCCCAGCCCTCTCCTCCATGTTTTTAAAAAATATAAAAAAATTGTTATTATAAAGGTGATGTACAAAGAGGTTACCGTTTCATAAGTCAGGTAATGAGTACATGTCTTTTAATCATTGGCTTCTGTTCCTTACACACTTTTTTTGTGTGCCATGGAACATAACTTAATCTCTATTACACTTACAAAGATGGCTTTCTCAGGGCTGGGAAGGTGGCTCAGTGATAGAGTTCTTCCCTTGCATGTATGAGGCCTTGGGTTGGATTCCTTGGCATCACATAAACAGAAAAAGCTGGAAGTGGCGCTGTGGCTTAAGTGGTAGGGTGCTCGCCTTGAGCTGAAGAGCTCAGGGACAGACAGCACCTAGGCCCAGAGTTCAAGCCCTCTGACCAACAAAAAAATAAAGATGGCTTTCTCCTCCCCTAACTTAATTGTCCATATTACTAACCTAAAGGAGCAATGAGAGAGTTGTCACTTTTCAGTTTTTGTATGCTCCTGTTGCTAATCTCAAGAGTATGGTGATTCATGTTGTCATTGTGTTTCAAGCACCTGCAGAGCACCTGTGCTCTTGTGGGCACACAGCAGGACGTTTTGTGGGCTGATCAGTCAGTGAATTCTACTACTTTACTAGCAGAGAAAGTCAGCCTCATTTGCCTTAACATGAGTTACAAAGCATACTCCTGATATTTGTATTTATTTACTTTTTGTGGTACTAGGACTTGAACTTAAGGCCTCAAGCTTGCTAGGCAAACACTTTACCATGAGCCACACTCATAAGAGAAATATTCTTCATTGGTATATGAAAGTATTATCTTCAGTGATCTAGCAGAATCTAACATGTAAAACATAAAGCTCTTAAAAAATAAATTCAGGGGGCTGGGAAGGTGGCTCAGTGGTAGAGCACTTGCCTTGCATGCTCGAGGCCCTGGGCTCAATTCCTCAGCACCACATAAGCAAAAAGCCGGAAGTGGCGCTGTAGCTCTAGTGGTAGAGTGTTAGCCTTGAGCTGAAGAGCTGAGGGACAGCGCCCAGGCCCAGAATTCAGGCCCCACGACCGGACCCAAAAAAAAAAAAAAATTCAAACATGCTGTGTCTTTATAGTGAACTTTTCAGTGAAGAAAATCTCAAGACCTCATTGTTTAAACGACTGAAAAAATAGTTGGGTTGTTAATGGTGCCAGGGCTTCATGCAGGCACTCTACCACTAAGCTACATCCTCAGACCCTCTTGGTCAATCTTTTAGATTCACCAAGATTTTTTTATTTTTATTTTATTTTTTTGTTGGTCGTGGGGCTTGAACTCTGGGCCTGGGTGCTGTCCCTCAGCTCTTCAGCTCAAGGCTAGTGCTGTACCACTTAAGCCACAGCACCACTTCCGGCTTTTTCTGCTTATGGGGTGCTGAGGAACCGAATTCAGGGCCTTATGCATGTGAGCAAGCACTCTACCACTGAGCCACCTTCGCAGCCCTACCAAGAATATTTCTGTTTTCAGATTGCTTTTTTTTTGTACCCATTTGAACTGTCTAGTAATGATGAAAGTTGGACAAACATTTCTCTCATCAGCCTATGCATAGAAGTATGCAAATTAGTTAGATTTAGGTGCTCCTTTTTGTGTTTTGTGTAAGCATTTTTGGAC